TCGAGGGACTGAGGACAATTCTAGAAGAGAAGCTGCTGTCCACAGAGGGCCTTGAGGGTAGTTATTCCACTACGAGGGACACACTCCAGTTTCACCGATTTGAGCAGTTCACCAGGCCCCGAGGCCCCTATATTCCTAAGTGGGTCCGGGAGTTCTACACATCATACGATGACTTGGTACCCAATGGCAAGAAAAAGGCCAATGCTTTCAGACCAGTGAAGTTTGTCATGGTCCGAGGAAAGGAAGTTGGGTGTAGAACTGATTACATTAATACTGTACTCGATAGGGTTCTATGTTCTACACTTGCATATGAGAATTTTCCCTCACCACAATCCCTTGATTAATTAAAGGGCTAGCTTGCACCCTGGATTTTTGATACCACCCCGAGGTGGATTGAGGCAAGAGCTCCCATCGAGAATAAGGATCTAACTATTGCCGCTAGGTACTGGTTCGGGTTCATCAATAGCTCGATTATGTTCTCACAGAACACGTCCATCCTTCGCCACCCAAAGACGGCCTGTCTTGGATCCATCATTTCTAAGAAGACGATCAACATGGGACTAATCATTGATCAAGAGATGGCCATGAGGGCCAAGCAGCATTAGACGTCCCTTCCATTCCCGATTTTGATTACGGAGCTGTGCCGGTGAGTTGGAGTTCCTCAAGATGAGACGGGAGATTTTGAGGTCACTCCTACATTCCCCACTAATTTCTGGTGTATAGAGGCCGAGTACACTCAGGAGGAGGCAAACATGAGGAGAGCGACTTCGGCGGACACATCCCCGAAGATTTATGTAGAGATGATTTCTGTAGAGGCAGCTTTGCCTACTCCAGCCTCCGGGCCTTCAGCTGCACCCGTTCCCACACCTTCATCCCAGGCTCCTCATACTTCTGCCACTTCTCGGCCTGCCAGGATTACTCAGGCTATGATCCTGTAAATGGGGGACTTAGACCATTCAGCGGATGTGAGGGGGACTCGATTGGAGGCTGCGGTACCATGGATGATCGAGAGTGCTATTCATGCTACATTGACACCCCTCATAACTTCTATTAATGATTTGAAGGCGAGAGTCGTAACTTGTGAGCATCGAGATGGGGATTCTTTTGAGGTGACATCTTTGAAAGTCGAGGTTGCAAATCTTAGTGTAACACCCCGGAAACTAGTAGACCAAACTAGAGCCACAAGCTAGGGTTCTAAGGTTTGCTGCATGAGAAATAGAGTAGTAGATGAGACCATACGTGCTTAGAATGAGGAGTTTATTAGTAGAATGTCAAGGCACGTGTTAGACCTCATAGTTTAGGAGGTCATCTATGGATTGGTATGGGGTTTCAAGGGCAAAGGCCAAGGCCAAGGGGGTAAAGCCTTAGCCAAGGGCCAAGACTGCCTCATGACCACGACCACTTTCATGGCCAGTGGTGTGGACCACGGTCCATGAAGACCACTTAGCCACTTGGGAGGCAAGTCCTTGAGGCCAAGCTACTGCTCCAAGTCCAAGACCACTTTCACGGCCAGTGGTGTGGACCACAGTCCGTGAAGATGCCTTAGGTTTTGGAAGTTTGGGAGGTTGAACGGAGCTACTGCCTAGAGGACCACGGGCACCACCACAGGATGTGGTACCCTTAACGGTCCGTACAAGTGGGTGGGGCCACTGGATGGGGCTGCCTAGTTTAGGGGTTTTAAAGTAAATTCCTAATCGACTAGGTTTAAGTGGGGGTCATTTTTGTATGTATTTTATTCACCTATTTAGACTATTTTAAGTCATTAGCCCCCAATTTTAGGTCACTTTAAATTATACGCAATTCGAAACCCCAAATCACTCCTCTCTCAAATATTTTTCTCTCTAAAAAGAACCTCCATTAAAGAAGAAGCTAGGGTTGAAGCTAAGGTCAAGAACAAAGGCTCCATTGCTAAGGGCTTGTGCTAGGGATTTGATTACGGTATGTTTAGATCTTCATCTATGGGTTCTTCCAGCGATAGATCCCCCTAGAATTTCCCTTAATTTGTGAAGAAGAACCCCAATCAAGCTAGGGTTACTTCCAATGTATGAGTTTTAGATGGGTATGATTCCAAATGGTTGAATACTACTCATATATGATTATTTTAGTGTTCATTCACGATATTATGAAGATTTTATGTGGATTGCTTGATTAACCCTAATTTTCAAATTATGTGGGTTTGGGTCTTTTGATGAGGAATTGATGATTCTTGCTAGATTATCTTGGGCTGTTATCATGTATAGAGCTTATCCAAGAATGTGAATATCAAATCATGAACTGAACTAGAATTATGCATGTATGATAGAATATGAATTGTAATGATTAAGAATTGGGACATTTGATGAATTATGCTTAGAATTGCTTATGACTAAGGCTTAGGGCCAATGTGTCTTGTGATCTAGACTAGTATGATGATTGTGGAATAAAGCTTGAATGTAGGGCTTGAAGTAATAATGTTGATCACTAGGGCTGAAAGAGTAAGTCTTATATGATGAGATATCTTGCATATATGAAGAATGTGAAAGGTTAATCACCTAAAATGAATCATGCTTGTTAGAATTGAATAGCTTGAGGTTGAGTCTTATGAATCCTTCATGTATAGTTGAATTATGTAGCTTGGGATGGTAGATCTCATGGTAGATTGGGATGGTAGATCTCATGGTAGCTTGGGATTGAGGAATTAAGCTCTCCTAAGGTTAGCTTGAACTAGCATTGGTAGGATACTCTTCATGGTAGCTTGCATTAGTATAGGCATGGTAGCCTAGGACTGAGGATCTATACTTTCCTATGGGTAGCTTGATGTAGTATGGTTAGAATGCCTTCATGGTAGCTTGACTTGGTTAGGCCAAGACCATTTTATGGTAGCTTAGGATTGAGACAATATACTCTCCTAAGGACAGCTTGGGGTTGATGATTCATACTCCCCTAAGGATAGCTTGCATCTTATTGAATGGTTGCATAGTGGCTAGGTTGGTATAGTTGGATCCTTCCTTTGATAGCTTAGAATGTATGATGGGATGTTTCCATAGTAGTTAGGTCTAGCATGGTGGTATGCTATTCTTTGATAGATTAGAATGAAAGATAGTTAGCATTGAGTAAGCTAGCCTAAATGAGTACTTAGTGTGAGTGGTTGTATGGGATGCCATTCATACTTGGCACAAGTATTACTTGAAGCTACTTATGAAGTGTCCACTTATGTGATGTATTCATAGCTTGGATTGTTGCTATAGTTTCCTTCTATGATATGAATTGACTTAAGATGATAGTTCCTTGTCAATATGAAAGTAGGTCAATAGTGACACTTAGAAATGATGAATATGAATATGGTGACTTTAGGGATATGCTTGGTGTGTGTGGTATTATGGGATACCTCACATGCATTGCACAAGTGCGCCTTGTGGTTACTTGAGTGTATAGTGCTCTTATGTAATGAAAACCTAGCTCTTGTCTATGAAGGTGGGCTATGACCAAGAATGATGAAAGAGAGGTACTTAGCTTTGATAGTATTATGGGATGCTATCTTGGCCTTGTACAAGTATGCTTGATGCTTGAAGGTGGCTTGTGAAATAGTTCACTTGAATATAAAAGACTAATGGTTGAGGTATGAAGTTATGTATGTCTTATGTTGCATTGTGATGATATGGTACTTATGTTGGAGTATATGTTATGATTATGTTATTGTATTTTATGCTTATGTGTTATGTTGACTAACCATTTGAGATGTTTTATGATGTTATGCTACATTTTGTACTAACGCATATTGCCTACTTTCTAATCAAATGTAGTGTGTTGGAGATTGAGTTTCTTTGGAGGCTAGGTATCTAAGGCGTTAGAAGACTTGATGATTTGGTGAGTCCTCATAGCTTCGAGGACAAACCCTTTTATGTTCCTTTTATATCTTTCCTTATGTTTTAGACTTTATATGGGCTGCGTCCCAAGACTTTTATTCATGTTATTCATAGATGGTTTGAGACAAAGATGTTAGTAAGATATCAATTTTTATGAAATGTTTTAAAGAAAGTTTCAATTTTCCCTACTTTTCTATGATGGTATGTTATGATGACGCTAAGGGCCTGTATTACACCCCTTTGAGGTCGAGTATGCCGTGTTACGTCTAGGGGGTAACCCTGGGTCGTGATAAACTTAGTTGCAGAGCATAAGGTTTTGGGATAAGTTTTAGGATGTCTCAAACCACGTCTAAGTAGAGTCTTATTCATGGGTTTGAGTCGTGACACATTTATGAATAGAAGGCTATTGGATGCTTAGGAAAAGTCTCACTTCTTCATTCTCTTAGTCGTGCCATAGAAGTTTAGCTCTAGTAGGTCCTTATTCTAATGTTTGCCTATGATTTTTTAGGTTATGGAAAATACTAGGGTGAATGCTAGGAGGGAAGGAGAAGATAATGAGGACCAAGAGATTTCTCCCCAAGGTCCAAATCAAGTTCCTCCTCAAGTTCCAAATGACCCTCCAATTGGGAATGTTACTCTTGCGGAGTTTAGGGCTTCTATGCAATTGTTGGCTCAAGCCTAGACGGCCCAAGCCAATAGAGAGGTGGTGGCTCTGGCAAACCCTACAGGGGGATTGGGTTCCTATAGGATTAGGGAGTTCTAGAGGATGAACCCTCTGAATTTTAGTGGCTCCAAGGTGGAGGAGGATCCAAATGGGTTTATAGATGAGGTTAATAAAACACTTACTATCTTGGGGGTAACTTCTAGAGAAAAAGCGGAACTAGCCGCTTACCAATTGAAAGATGTTGCCCAAATTTGGTATGAGCAATGGAAAGATTCTACGCCGGTAGAGGCAGGTCCCATAGAGTGGGAGACTTTTAAGTTGGCATTTCTAGATAGGTTCTTTCCTCGAGAATTGAGGGAGGCTAAGTTGGAGGAATTCATAAATTTTAAGCAAGGCAACATGAGTGTCAATGAGTATGCCTTGAAATTCACTCTTTTGTCTAAGTATGCTCCATCTTGGTAGCAAGTCCAAGGGATTTGATGAATAGGTTTATGACGGGGGTGTCCGATCTAGTAGAAGAAGAATGTCGTATGGCAATGCTTGTTGATCATATGGATATCTCACGCCTCATGGTGTTTGCCCAACAAATAGAAGAGTCAAAACTCAAAAAAGAGAGGGCTAGGGAGAAAAAGAGGTCTAGGGTGGATAATGATGGGTCCAATGGACATGGTCGTTCTAGGAATCGACAAAAGTTTTCCGAACAAGGCAATTCTAATGCTCCTAAGTATAAGGATGAGAGGGTGTCTATGATAACAGCAAGGTTAAGGGAGATCACAAATAGAGAATTGAATATTAGAATGCGGAAGCACAAAGAAAAAAAACAAAAAAAACAAACTAAAAGATATGGGAAATTCGAAGGAAAGATCCACGAATTTCCAAGGATTAGATGTTCTAAGGCCTTGAAAAGATCCAAGTAACAACGTATAGATTTATGGAAGAAATCTAACGCCTTTACTTGAGAAAACGAATCAAAACGATAGATTCGGATCTTGACCGCTTTATGAGTAACTAAAGACAATAATTAGTATGTAGAAACTAATCACCTTCTAAAGAATACCAAAAAGAAACCAAAGATATCACAAGAAGAAGTTACTTTATACCTTAAACTATGAATAGTAAAGGTTTAAAGATAAATTCTCAAAGAACAAGTCACAAAGGTTCAAAGAACTCTCTCAAATATTATTAATATCAATGTAAATTGTCTTTAATGAATGAAAAGGACTCCTATATATAGGAGAAGGGGAAAAAAACGTCCAAGGACCCTAGAAATACAATTACAAGGAATCCTACTCTAGAAAGGAAATAAAGTAACCTAACTAGGAACAAATTTAGTACTTCTAGGAAAGCATTAAATGGTACTTAGGACACCATAAATAGACTAAGGAAAATATTAATAACCTATATATAAATAAATAAATAAATAAATAAATAAATAAGATAAATCCCAACTAGGAAAAGAATCTTGACAATCTTGGAAAGTTTGACTAGTCTTCTCTCAAAACTTGGGCAGAAAGCAACTCTTGTTGTGGCTGATTCTTGGACTCTTCTTGACCTTATTTGCACGAAAATTGCCCTTAAAATTCCACATCTTGGGCTTGAATTTGGGCCACCAAATAATTGTAGCATTTGGACAATTCCTCTCCCTTGGGATTGAGCTCTTCTTCCCCAATAAGACACCTTTGGATCAGCGATTGAAGCCCATTGATCTTATCATTGAACTCCTTGGTTTGAGATCTTGTTATGGGCCTCCTTGGAGTTTCTAAAGCTTCATCCTTGTCCTTCAATGGAGTAGAGCTTCCTTGGATGCTATCAGTCTACCCCTAGGCCACAAGGGAAAGGTAGTGTGTCCCTATGGCCCACTTGTTCTAGGTGTGGTAAGAGGCATGAGGGTAAGTGTTTGGCCGGTAGAGATGGTTTTGATGGATGTGGTGATAGTGGCCACATGAAGAAAGATTGCCCAAAGGCAAAGGCTACTATAAGAGAGGGTAAGCAAATTTCCCCTAGTGGTGGGGACGATGAGCCTCCAAAGAGGAATAGGTTTTGTTCTCTCCAATCTAGAGAAGATCAACAATGATCTGCTCATGTCCCTTCCGGTATGTGCTTCTTTCATGTTTTAGAAAATTTCCAGATTTCTTGTCTTTTATGACTTGTTATGTTGGACTTGATGTTGTCCTTGACATGATTAATGTTTAGAAAAACATATGAGGGCTTACTCCCAAGGGGGAGATAGTGTACCTATTCCATAAGGTCTTTACATGATTATGTGTTGCTATGATCTCTTTATGTATGTCTTTGAAGCTGTGTAGGCCTTGTTAGAATTGATCTACTTGCATTGTGTTGCCTCATAATCTTTAAGTCAATGTGCATCTTAGGCTCCATGAATTTATGTTGAGCATGTTGTAGCTAGGAGATGCTAGTTCTTCCTTGGAAATGATTATATATGTCTCTCTCTTGCATTTTGAGTTGAATTAGGTATGTTTAGCTAGGAATTGAAGTTTTCCTTGGTTGTTAGTGTGGATGTAGATGTAGTGCATGCATGATGGGATGCTAATCTAGAGTCGCTTCCTTTAAGAAGTTTTTAGAAAGGTCATTCGAGGATGAATGTTTCCAACGGGGAGATATTGTAACACCACAGAAACTAGTAGACCAAACTAGAGCCACAAGCTAGGGTTCTAAGGTTTGATGTATGGGAAATATAGTCGTAGATGAGACCTTATGTGCTTAGAATGGAGAATTTATTGGTAGAGCGTCAAGGCACGTGTTAGACCTCATATTTAGGAGGTCATCTATGGATTGACATGGGGTTTCAAGGGCAAAGCCCAAGGCCAAAGGGGCAAAGCCTTAGCCAAGCGCCCAGACTGCCCAACCTTGGCCAAGACTGCCTCATGACCACGACCACATTCACGACCAGTGGTGTGGACCATGGTCCGTGAAGTGGTCCGTGAAGATCACTTAGCCACTTGGGAGGCAAGGCCTTGAGGCCAAGCTACTTCCCCAAGTCCACGACCACTTTCACGGTCAGTGGTGTGGACCACGTTCCATGAAGTGGTTCGTGAAGATGCCTTAGGTTTTGGAAGTTTGGGAGGTTGAGGGGAGCTAATTCCTAGAGGACCAAGGGCACCACCTAGGGACGTGGTACCCTTTCACAATCCATACACGTGGGCGTGACCACTGGACGAGGCTGCCTAGTTTAGGGTTTTTAAAGTAAATTCCTATTCGACTAGGTTTAAGTGGGGGTCATTTTGTATGTATTTTATTCATATATTTAATCTATTTTAAGTCATTAGCTTCCATGTTTAAGTCACTTTACATTAGGCACAATTCAAAACCCCAAATCACTCCTCTCTCAAATATTTCTTTCTCTAAGAAGAACTTCCATTGAAGAAGAAGCTAGGGTTGAAGCTAAGGTCAAGAACAAACGCTTCATTGCTAAAGGCTTGTGCTAGGGCTTTTATTAAGCTATGTTTAGATCTTCATATATGGGTTCTTCCACCAATAGATCCCCCTAGAATTTCCCCTAATTTGTGAAGAAGAACCCCAATCAAGCTAGGGTTACTCCTAATGTATGGGTTTTTGGTAGTATGATTCCAAATGGTTGGACACTACACATATATGATTATTTTACTGTTTATTCATGAAATTATGAAGATTTTATGTGGATTCCTTGATTAACCCTAATTTTCAAAGTATGTGGGTTTGGGTCTTTTGTTGAGGAATTGATGATTCTTGCTAAATTCTCTTGGGTTGTTATCATGTATAGAGCTTATCCAAGAATGTGAATATTAAATCATGAATTGAACTAGAGTTATGCATGTATGATATAATATTAATTGAAATGACTAAAAATTGGGACTTTTAATGAATTATGCTTAGAATTGCTTATGACTAAGGCTTAGGGCTAAAGTGTCTTGTGATCTAGACTAGTATGATGATTGTGGATTAAAGCTTGAATGTAGGGTTTGAAGTCATAATGTTGATCACTAGGGCTTAAAGAGTAAGTCTAATATGATGAGATATCTTGCATATATGTAGAATGTGAAACATTTATCACCTAAAATGAATCATGCTTGTTAGAGTAGAATAGCTTGAGGTTGAGTCTTATGAATCCTTCATGTATAGTTGAATTATGTAGCTTGGGATGGTAGATCTCATGGTAACTTGGGATTGAGGAATTAAGCTCTCCTAAGGTTAGCTTGAACTAGCATTGGTAGGATGCTCTTCATGGTAGCTTTCATAAGTATAGGCATGGTATCCTAAGATTGATGATCTATACTCTCCTATGGGTATCTTGAAGTAGCATGGTTAGAATGCCTTCATGGTAGCTTGACTTGGTTAGGCTAAGACCATTTCATGGTAGCTTAGGATTGAGATACCATACTCTCGTAAGGATAGCTTAGGGTTGATGATTCATAGTCCCCTAAGGGTAGGTTACATCTTATTAAATAGTTGCATGGTGGCTAGGTTGGTATACTTGTATCCTTTCTTTGATAGCTTAGATTGTATGATTGGATGTTTTCCGTGGTAGTTAGGTCTAGCAAGGTGGTATGCTATTCTTTGAATAGACTAGAATGAAAGATTGCTAGTATTGGGTAAGCTAGCCTAAAGGAGTACTTATTGTGAGTGGTAGTATGGGATGCTATTCATACATGGCACAAGTATGACTTAAAGTTACTTATGAAGTGTCCTCTTATGTGATGTATGCCTAGCTTGGAGTGTTTCTATAGTTGCCTTCCATGATATGAATTGACTTATGATGATAGTTCCTTGTCAATATGAAAGTAGGCCAATCGTGACGTCTAGAAATGATGAATATGAATATGGTGACTTTAAGGATATGCTTGGGTTGTGTGGTATTATGGGATGCCCCACATGTATTGCACATGTGTGCCTTGAGGTTACTTGGGGGTATAGTCCTCTTATGGCATGAAAACCTAGGTCTTGACTATGAAGGTGGGCTGTGACCAAGAATGACGAAAGAGAGGTACTTAGCTTTGATGGTATTATGGGATGATATCTTGGCCTTGCACAATTATGCTTAGAGGTGGCTTGTGAAGTATTTCACTTGAATATGAAAGACTAATGGTTGAAGTATGAAGTTATGTATGTCTTATGTTGACTTGTGATGATATGATACTTATATTGGAGTTTATGTTATGATTATGTTATTGTATCTTATGCTTATGTTTTATGTTGACTAACCATTTGAGATGCTTTATGATGTTGTGCTATCTTTCATACTTGGTACATTTTGTACTAATGCATATTGACTACATTCTAATAAAATGAAGGGTGTTGGAGATTGAGTTGCTTTGGAGGTTAGGTTTCTAATGCGTTAGAAGACTTGAAGATTTGGTGAGTCCTCATAGCTTCGAGGATAAACCCCTTTACGTTCCTTTTATGTCTTTCCTTATGTTTTAGACTTTATATGGGCTAAGTCCCAAGAATTTTATTGATGTTATTCATTGATGGTTTGAGACAAAGATGTTAGTAAGACTTCTCCTTTTATTAAATGTTTTAGATTGAATGTTTTAAAGAAAGTTTCAATTTTTCCTACTTTTCTATGATCGTATGTTATGATGACGCTAAGGTCTTGTATTAGACCCCTTCGCGGTCGAGTACGCCGTGTTACATCTAGCGGGTACCCCTGGGTCGTGACACTTAGGAACGACGTGGACTATTTGAAGTCCACTAACTTCAATTTATTATTGGAGGCAACAGATGATGCGGATTCCCCGGCCAGTTCTGAGATTCCTCCGGTCACCACTGGAAATGTGCCAATGGATGATATGGCAGTTTATGAGTTGGAGGCAGAGACCGACGAGGAGTAAATTAAGGTATGAGAGGAGATAATCTATAGAGAGTTTCTTGATCTAGAGGAGATGATTGTACAGTCACTGATTCAGACGTCGCTGACAGAGACATCTCTGGCAGGCCTCAGTGGTTCGAGCTCTGCTGCTACTACACCGGGCACTGATGCCGCGGCAGATGGAGCGACTGCATACACATTATTTTCTTAACCTCCCTCTCTGTCTTCTTTATTGATTTCCAGTATTTTATTGCATTTGAGGACAAATTGCTTTTTATTTATAGTGGGGTGAGGTATCTCCATACCTACCTCTTGTGATTGTTATTTTTGTATATATTGGGTTTTTGTGTTTAACTTGTGTTTTGACTTTGTTTTGTGGATGCTTGAGCTTCTGGTTCCTTGTTTTTAACTGTAATTAATTTTTGGACCCTTCCAAAAATTTTTGCCGCCTTTTGTGTATTTAATTGTGGCTGTTCTTGTGCAAATTCGAGTGTCAGTTGTGATAAATACTGATGACTTAAATAGTGCTCTTAATAGGAAAAAATAAATGTGCTGCTACGATGAGGCCAAATGAAGTTGCATAGGCAATATGTGAACTCTTTGCATCACGTTCTGACTAGCCGATTATTGAATTGAGTTTCTTGTTATGAATATTTCACACTAGCGAAAGTGTGGAGTCTTGTTTGATATTGGTGCCAATGCCTTGTGTGATGAACTTACCATGAATCCGGTTGACTAAGTGATGCAAGCTCTTGAAATAATCTTAGGCAACAATTTTAAAGAGTGAAATAATTTGACACTATACCTCTTTTGTGGCCTGCCTTGTGAGTGTGTGAACTTTGCTTGAACACCCTTTGAGCCTTATCCTTTTCTTGGAAGAAACTTGATCTAACACCCCGGAAACTAGTAGACCAAACTAGAGCCACAAGCTAGGGTTCTAAGGTTTGATATATGAAAAATAGAGTCATAGATGAGACCTTCCGTGCTTAGAATGAGGAGTTCATTGGTAGAACATCAAGGCACGTGTTAGACCTCGTAGTTTAGGAGGTCATCTATGGATTTGTATGGGGTTTCAAGGGTAAAGGCCAAGGCCAAAGGGGTAAAGCCTTACCCAAGGGCCAAGACTGCCCAACCTTGGCCAAGACTGCCTCATGACCACGACCATTTTCACGGCCAATGGTGTGGACCGTGGTCCGTGAAGTGGTCCGTGAAGATCACTTAGCTACTTGGGAGGCCAGGCCTTGAGGCCAAGCAACTGCCCTAAGTCCACGACCACTTTCATGGCTAGTGGTGTGGACCACGGTCCGTGAAGATGCCTTGGGTTTTGAAAGTTTGGGAGGTTGAGGGGAACTACTGTCTACAAGATCACGGGCACCACCACAGGCCGTGGTACCCTTTCACGGTCCGTACAAGTGGGCGTGACCACTGGACGGGGTTGCCTAGTTTAGGGTTTTTTAAGTAAATTCCTATTCGACTAGGTTTAAGTGGGGGTCGTTTTGTATGTTTTATGTTCACCTATTTAGACTATTTTAAGTCATTAGCCCCCAAGTTTAAGTCACTTTACATTAGACACAATTCAAAACCCCAAATCACTCCTCTCTCAAATATTTCTCTCTCTAAGAAGAACCTCAATTGAAGAAGAAGCTAGGGTTGAAGCTAAGGTCAATAACAAAGGCTCCATTACTAAAGGCTTATGCTAGGGATTTTATTAAGGTATGTTTACCTCGTTATCTATGGGTTCTTCCACCCATAGATCTCCCTAGAATTTTCCCTAATTTGTGAAGAAGAACCTCAATCAAGCTAGGGTTACTCCCAATGTATGGGTTTTAGGTGGGTATGATTCCAAATGGTTGGACAATACTCATATATGATTATTTTAGTGTTGATTCATGATATTATAAAGCTTTTATGTGGATTTCTTGATTAACCCTAATTTTTAAAGTATGTGGGTTTGGGTCTTTTGATGAGGAATTGATGATTCTTGCTAGATTCTCTTGGGTTGTTATCATGTATAGTCCAAGAATGTGAATATGAAATCATGAATTGAACTATACTTATGCTTGTATGATAGAATATGAATTGAAATGATTAAGAATTCGGAATTTTGATGAATTATGCTTAGAATTGCTTATGACTAAGGCTTAGGGATAACGTGTCTTCTGATCTAAACTAGTATGATGATTGTGGAATAAAGCTTGAATGTAGGGCTTGAAGTCATAATGTTGATCACTAGGGATTAAAAAGTAAGTCTAATATGATGAAATATCTTACATATATGTAGAATGTGAAAAGTTAATCACCTAAAATGAATCATGCTTGTTAGAATAGAATAGCTTGAGGTTGAGTCTTATGAATCCTTCATGTATAGTTGAATTATGTAGCTTGGGATGGTAGATCTCATGGTAGCTTGGGATGGTAGATCTCATGGTAGCTTAGGATGGTAGATCTCATGGTAGCTTGGGATTGAGGAATTAAGCTCTCCTAAGGTTAGCTTGAACTAGTATTGGTAGGATGCTCTTCAAGGTAGCTTTCATTAGTATAGGCATGGTAGCCTAGGATTGAGGAACTATAGTCTCCTATGGGTAGCTTGAAGTAGCATGGTTAGATGTCTTCATGATAACTTGACTTGTTTAGGCCAAGACCATTTCATGGTAGCTTAGGATTGAGACACCATACTCTTCTAAGAATAGCTTGGGGTTGATGATTCATAATCCCCTAAGGATAGCTTACATCTTATTGAATGGTTGCATGGTGTCTAGGTTGGTATATTTGTATCCTTCCTTTGATAGCTTGGGTTGTAAGATAAGATGTTTTCCTTGGTAGTTAGGTCTGGCATGGTGGTATGCTATTCTTTAATAGACTAGATTAAAAGATAGTTAGCATTGAGTAAGCTAGACTAAAGGAATACTTAGTGTGAGTGGTTGTATGGGATTCCATTAATACGTGGTACAAGTATGACTTGAAGCTACTTATGAAGTGTCCTTTTATATGATGTAGGCATAGCTTGGATTGTTGCTATAGTTGCCTTCCATGGTATGAATTGACTTAAGATGATAGTTCCTTGTCAATATCAAAGTAGGTCAATAGTGACACCTAGAAATGATGAATATGAATATGGTGACTTTAAGGATATGCTTGGTGTGTGTGGTTTTATGGGATGCCCCATATGCATTGCACAACTGTTCCTTGAGGTTACTTAGGGGTATAGTGCTCTTATGACATTAAAACCTCGGTATTGACTATGAAGGTGGGCTATGGCAAAGAATGACGAAAGAGAGGTACTTAGCTTGGATAGTATTATGGGATGCTATCTTGGCCTTGCACAAGTATGCTTGGAGGTGGCTTGTTAATTAGTTCACTTGAATATGAAAGACTAATGGTTGTAGTATGAAGTAATGTATGTCTAATGTTGACTTGTGATGATATGATACTGATATTGGAGTTTATGTTATGATTATGTTATTGTCTCTTATGCTTATGACTTTTGTTGACTAACCATTTGAGATGCTTTATGATGTTGTGCTAGCTATCATACTTGGTACATTTTGTACTAACGCATATTGCCTACATTCTAATAAAATATAGGGTGTTGGAGATTGATTTGCTTTGGAGGCTAGGTTTCTAAGGCGTTAGAAGACTTGAAGATTTGGTGAGTCCTCATAGCTTCGAGGACAAACCCCTTTATGTTCCTTTTAATTCTTTCCTTATGTTTTAGTCTTTATATGGGCTGCATCCCAAGAGTTTTATTCATGTTATTCATAGATGGTTTGAGACAAAGATGTTAGTAAGACTTCCGATTTTATGAAATGTTTTAGATTGAATGTTTTAAAGAAAGTTTCAATTTTCCCTACTTTTCTATGATCGTATGTTATGATGATGCTAAGGGCTTGTATTAGACCCCTTCAGGGTCGAGTATGCCGTGTTACGTCTAGGGGCACCCCTGGGTCTCGAAACTTGAGCAAATGAGACATCTTGTTATCCCTTCTCCCATAATCCTCACGAATTGTTGTTTATTTGAATAGCCAAATTAGGTTAAAAGCCTAAGTTGGGGGTGTGGTGAATGAGAAGGTAAATCAATAAGTTTTAAGAAATTCCCTTTTACCCATGATTTTAAAAAAAGAAGATGGAACCCCTCTATATAAAATAAAAGGAGAGAAAAAGAACAAAAAAGTTGTGAAAGTTGCAAAAGAAAAGGGGTATCCGGTATTACATGGAAAGTAAATAATGGGTTGAATTTTGAGCATGAATGAGAATGATGAAGAAAAGGAAAGGAAGTGATGTCCATACCACATTTCATGAGGATAGCAGCCACTAAGCCTCAATGACCATACCTTTATACTCAGCCCCATTACAAGCCTTGAAAAGACCTTTGTGATCTTGAGTGAGCTTAAACAAATGTTGGTTGGAAAATAAGGGCAAACATATGGGTGAAGTCATGCATATGTTCATCTTTTTGAGTGTGCGACTTGTATGTGATTCCGGAGATATAAAGTGTTGAACCATTGTGTCATTCTTTGTGTGAGGGCATTTCAGTACCTTTGTTGAGCTTGAACTTGCATTTGAAGCAAGTATTGTGAACTTGAGAATCTTTGGTAATGGTGAGTCACTACTTGAACCATTGAGTGCACAATTGATCCTTGTATGAGTAAGTTGAGTCTTATTGTGTGCATTCATGATTGAGTCATGTGTAGCATTGTTGGAGACATCCTCTTTGAACTGCTGAACTTGAGTTTTTACTTGAGGACAAGCAACATTTTATGCTGGGGATGTTGATGAGTCTGAGATTTGGACTCATTTAGGGCTTTATTTACAATGATTTAGTGTCCTCAAATGCTTATTTTGTGCCAATAACTAATGTAAAACTCTTGATTTCCAGGTATTTGGATTGAGGAACAAAGCAAGGACATTAATTTGCTAAAAGGAACAAAGCGAGCTGAAATAATGAAGAAAAGTACACCTGGTGATTGCCAATTCCACTTAGCGAGTCGCCGAATGACCTCTTGACCGCCTGAAGTTCTAGTG